AAGACAGGTATAGATATATACAACACTACTATAAGTTTGTCAATTGTTAATCCCTATGCGTCCACTGCCTCCCCTCTCCCCTCAGTCATCACAAATATGATAGAAATATATCCCATTTCTAAGCATTTGATCAATTATTCGGCTTTACTTATCTGTCTGCCTATAGAGTGATTGATGAAATAAATTAACCATGTTAACCTTTATAATAAAATATCAAGGTTAAAATTGTGAATTAAACCGGATATGGTATGCGATTTAATGAATACAGTATTTATTTGTTTAACTTGTATTAAGTGTCGTAATATTTAAGCATCTGTTGGTTATATAGTGATAGAGTATGTGATGAGGGCTTTGCTAATCATATCTCTAATCACTTTTTCTCTCCAACACTATATACAGCAATAAATTGCTTCTAATAATAGGTATTAATAATAATGAATTGTAAAATCAATTATTTACTATAAATTGCAACTTTATTTTATACACAATTATTAAAAATTTAATCATAAATTCTCTAAAACTTATATTAATTAGAGTTATATATAATCTTATGGTATAAAAAATAAAAATATTTATATTGTTTACATTTTAATGATTGAATGGATTTATAATTAATAATTAAATTAATGGGGTTTTTGTGGTTAGGAATCGAGTGAGTGATTGATTAGATGTCGGAAATGTGTTCAGTAATTGTCCGCAATTGTAGGCTCGGGAGTGGCCTTTGGGTGCTTTCGGGGGTCGACGCCGGAGACGACTCCGACGATGAGCTGTAGCTTTGGTCGGGAAATGACACGATTTCGTCCATCAGTTCCTTTGGAATGGTCTGTTCGCTCGCCTCATATACCGAGATATTGGTTAACCAGCGCTCAAGTGTCTCGAATTGAGGTCTGGGGGGAGGGGGAGGCAGTGGACGCATAGGGATTAACAATTGACAAACTTATAGTAGTGTTGTATATATCTATACCTGTCTTCGGGATCAACTTCAGTGCACAGGAATGCTATTCGGGAGAAGAACTCCGGACACGATTCGCAGAACTTCTCTTTAAACACTATTTTGTTGAGACCAAAGTCGGAATTTCGTGGTAAATAATCGGGATCTGCCTGTACTCGACCGATGATCTGCTCATTAAATAAGTCATCAATATTTGAATCACAACTCAAACAATGGGTTAATCGCGAGAATCGAGACTCACTTCGCATAGAATGATACCGAAGGAGAAGATGTCCACCTTTTCGTCGTATTTCTTGCCTTTCATCATCTCGGGTGCCATCCAATAGGGATTGCCCACAACGGTGTACCTCTTCCTGCGGTCCCTACGCTTGCCATTGTTGCTATACTTGCGGTTATTGGTGGCGATGATCTTCGCGAGACCGAAGTCGGCCACCACTACCATCCCGTCCTCTCTCACCAAACAGTTCTGGGAATTGAGATCTCTATGAATAATATTCATTGAATGCAAATAATTCATTCCGGAGGCGATGTCTTTGGCAAAGTTGACCCGTAGTGGCCATTGGAGTGCGCGGTTCAGGTCGTGGATCAGCTCCTTCAGCGTTCCACCGCTGATGAACTCAGTCAACAAATGGAGTTTCTTATCCCTGTAGAGGACGCCAATGAAGTGGAGGACATTCGGGTGCGAGAGAGAGCCCAAAACGGCCACCTCTTTGAGGAAATTGGTTTCCGCCTCGTCTTCCATGCGATACAACTCTTTGAGAACCATTTTCTCTGAGGTCTGTCTGTGAGTCACTAAATAGACTTCACCGAAGAATCCCTTTCCCAATAGATTTCCTTTGACTAGATCTGAGGCGCGAAAGATTCGGTAGTTTTTGGTCTCCACTCGAAACGACTTCGTTCGGGACAGAGGTGTCGACTGCACGGCGAACGGCGACTGATGGCCGCACCCGTCGGGGCTGTGGTGCTGGTGATGACAGTGCCCGCCATCGGGCGAGTCGTCCAATGAGGGCGACGACAGTTGGGAGGATAGCAGTCGTGGCAACGATGAGCTGCGCTCTCGATTGGGTGAGCGTTTCGTTTGGCCTCTCGATGGCCGACAGCTGTCCGCCATTGACAGGCCGTTTGCCGTGCGGTCCGTCGCGTCTCGGCTGCGGTCGACGGCCACCGGACACGCGATTGCGGTCGTCATAGCAGTGGTGCCGCCGATGAGCAGCGAGTCCGACGACACGGACCTGGCGTTGGCCTTATCGGCCGTGGAATGGCTTTTGTGGTCACGAATGGCCGCCGCAGTCGTGGCGGCCGTTAACGGGAATGACTTGAGTGGCGGACACGCGTTGGCCTCACATTCAGTGGTGAGTCGGAGGGCAGGGTTTGGTCTGTCCTGTGGTGGGGACGGGTGTGCGGCTGGCGTTGCCGTCACGTCCAGCACTCGGTCGCCGATCTGAACGGTTTGTACAATCATTTGGTCATTAGGTCTGTGCGGCCGAGCGATTGGCCATCGGTTTGGGTTACGTCTCGATCACAGGTATGTGTCTCTCAAACACATCAACGCATTACTCAGTCAACCAATTCTGGCAATTCTCGCGTCACTTATGAATGACTCGCTTAGCCTTCAATGCGTTGATCGCAATCTTGTCGTACATTTTGCTTCCCATAGAGAATACATTACACCTATTGTTCATAAATAACGTCAAACTTACAAAAATTGAATGAATGGAGAATAGGATGCAAAACATGGCGTGTGTTGTGATGTTGTGGGGGAGACAGCAATGGGTGAGTGAAGGCCAACCCCTCCCCCCATAACTCCCCCTTTAAATCCCCTAAAGTTGTTGTTCACAACGAAACGCAATAACAACTTAAGGGTCATTCATATATGCAGTGACGAGCATATGATTGCATAAATATAGTCAGCATAAGCTCAACGCAAACCCTTCATAAATACTATAACACATTTGTTTTGGTTCTGGGCGTAGAGTTGCCATATGTCTAGATTTGATTTGGAATTTTCACTTTAAAGGATCCTAATCATATTTGCGAAGGACATTGGTTATATTTACCTGCTTTATGTTTGGGATAATATTGTTAAAAGATTGTTCAAATAGTGATTATACCGAATATACTTGTAATAATAGTGCACTTTAGTGGTGCGATAATGTGGGCACTCTATCTGTGAGTGGATTTATTGAGTAGAAAAATTGAGTTCAAACTCTTCAACCATAGAAATAGTGTTGTATTGAATGCTATAATAACTGTGTTTATGAGTGAAAAGCAATTACTGTTTGTATACAACAGTATTATTGCCAACAAATCTATCATTAATTTATTTTTTATAACTATTTATTAATAATTAAGTATTACTTGTATTCATAGGTATTATAAGTATGTATTGATTGTATAGTTGTATGCCTTGAATGCTGCGAATGTATCGCAACTAACCATATATTGTCTGTCTTGACGACCACTTCCTCCGCAGATAACCTCCGAAGTGTCCAAAAATGGCCGAAGAGTTTGATCCGTGCGAATGCGTGAACCTATTAACTCAAGAGCAACGGATGCAACGGCTCATCAATATGGTAGGCATCGGCACCGATGGCCGCACACCAGCGACACCACCACCGGTTACCGACCACCACCTCATCCACGGCTCTGTCACACCCGTGCGGGCCGTCGATGCCGTGTGTGGTGTCCACAACCGATTGACGCCGTCGTCCGGCTATTAAGATATGTTTTAATGATTTATTTGTCTTTTGTTTCACAGGTAAGAGACTCGCAGACCGTATGCAATGACAACGAGTGCTTCAATGATGGTATGATTTTGTCTCCTTTTGGGTATCGATTTTGTTGTGTGGTTTGTTAGGAGTGGGTTAAGGGGTTGTGAGGGGAACGGGTGTAATGGGAGGGTAGGGTTAGGGCTTATCCACCGCTTTTAGTGTCCATTTTGTCTTATTTTTTAATTAAAAAATTAGGCTTTATTTTGAGTGTCAAAAACAGATGTTTTTCGTACAGATCTTATGTAACACTGTATCCAATATGAAGTCATTTCAGTTCTCTCTCTCTCTCTCTCTCTCTCTCTCTCTCTATGTATGAATTATTGACAAATTAATTTCCTATTTATTATTAGATAATTTTTACGACAAATATGTTTGAATGCATAGACATTGGATACTTGTGTTACACTTATGTAGTTTACGATAAAAAATTAATTTTACTTTCAATTCACTTTAAATCTAATCTAATGCTTATCAATGATAGAAATAATGAATATGACTTTTAATATGATAGTGAATAACTTTAGTTTAGGAAATTTTTAACTCAATTATCTCTGCATTTGTTATGTCATGAGATACTACTGTATTGCTATTTATTCAATTCATTGATGAAACACCTGTCGACTCAGTATAAGCTTTTATGTGATAGAAAATTGTATTTCAAACCATTCATTAAATAACAATTAAAAACTTTAATTCAATTTTAAAGTTGTTTAACAAACGAATACATGATTGAGAATATACTATGAATTTCATAGACAAAAACCACATTTTAAACACTTATGAAATAATGGTTACAATAATTGTATGAAACATGTGTTTGCAGTGATGTCGGGCCCGAGCACTGCGGGTGTACTGACCCCGGGAGATGAGGGCACCCAACTGTCACTGATGACTGTGATGATTGGCTGGATTGTGCTCGTAATGATCCTATACTTGTTGCGGCCCAACTCGTGGCGCCGGCGCTCACACACCAAAAAGA